TGTGCTCTGAAGTAACCGTTTGTAAGTCTTTTTACTGTCCTGCCTTCTCTGCAGTTATGAAAGGGTTACAGAGGATTACAGGCAGTATAACCTTTGATGTCCACACAGTAAAGAGTCGATGATTGAATAACCGATGATCTTTTACTGATAACATGTGGATCATAATGAGAATGAATGAATAAAATGTGCGGCGATGAATTTGGTAAAAACTGAGTAAAATACAACAGAAATAAACAGACATGAGTACATATCTAACTACCTAGCAATATGCACAACATTCCTCAGTACATAGGAGGGTACTTACAGACTTTGGGGGTCTAATCAAGCCCATATAATGAAGAGGGAACAGCATCCCACATGTACTTGCATTGTAGAAATTCTTCAGTCTGAAGAGATGAGGTCAACTTCCCTCCCAAGTTAGCAAACAGGACGTCCCTAGCCTTAAAGGGACAGACACTGCTGAATGCTAAAGAATGCCTTGTGTAATACAAGGCAGCACAAAGGGGACAAATTGAATAATAATTAGCCACAAAGACTAAGCTGTTGCAGACAGCTAACAGTCTGGGCTAACCGATCAGTGACTGAAAAGACTGGCTTTTGATCATGTGACCACTGTCACAGTGGTCACATGATCAATGATCCTTCCTGCCCCCTGGGCATTCTGAACTGTTTAATGGAACTCTGGGGCAAGGTGTAATGTGGTTTTAAATAACAATAATGTTTTGGGTGATTTCCTTAACCACTTACAACCCGGGCCAATTCTGACATTCCTCTCCTACATGTAAAAAGATTTTTTTTTTTGCTAGAAAACATTGATTAAAACAAGGTTTAGAAGTGTGTCTACGGAAATTTTGACCATTCTTCCAAAAGTGCATTTGTGAGTGCAGGCACTGAACTTGCTCATAAGTCTCCGCTCTAATTCATCCCAAAATCTAGTGTTTAACTATCAGGTTAAATCCTGGACTCCGTGCAGGTCAGTCAAGTTCCTCCACCCCAAACTCACTCATTCAAGTCTTTTTTTATAACCTTGCTGTGTGCACTGTGCGCAGTCACGTTGGAACAGGAAGGGGCCATCCCAAACTCTTCCCACAAAGTTGGGAACATGAAATTCTCCAAAATGTCCTAGTAGACACCTTAAGAGTTCCCTCCACTTGAACTAAGGGACCAAGCCCAACCTCTGAAACACAACCCCACATCATAATCCCCCCATCTACCAAAGTTTACACTTGTCACAATGCAGTCAGGCAAGTACTGTTCTCCCTGGCAACTACCAAACCCAGACATGTCCATCGGATTGCCAAACAGAGAAGCATGATTTGCTACTCCCAGAGAACATGTCTAACACTGCTCCTAGAGTCCAGTGGCGATGTGTTTTACAAACAACCCCTGCATCCAATGCTTTGCAATGCACTTGGTGATGTAAGGCTTGGATGCAGCTGCTCGGCCATGGAAACCCATTTCCATGAAAGCTCTCTACACACTGTTGTTGTGCTAATCTGAAGGCCACATGAAGTTTGGAGGTCTTTAGCTATTGACTCTGCAGACAGTTGGCGACTTCTGCGCACTGTGCGTTTCAGCATGTACTGACCCTGTTTCTGTCATTTTTACATGGCCTACCACTTCGTGGCTGAGTTGCTGTTTGTTCCCAGTTTTGCTTCCACTTTGTTATAATATCACTAACAGTTGACCGGTGAAATATTTAGTAGCCAGGAAAATTTCACAGATGGACGTATTGCACAGGTGGCAACCTATCACGGTACCCGCTTGAATTCACTGAGAGACACATTCTTTTACAAATATCTGTAGAAGCAGTCTGCATGTCTAGGTGCTTGATTTCATACACCTGTGGCCATGGAGGTGATTGAAACACCTGAATCCAATGATTTGGAGGGGCGTCCCAATACTTTTGGCAATATAGTAGTGTTTGTGTGTATATATATATATATATATATACTGTTCAAGAAAATTAAAGGAACACTTTTTAATCAGAGTATAGCATCAAGTCAATTAAACCCCTGGAATATTGATCTGGTCAGTTGAGTAGCAGAGGGGGGTTGTTAATCACTTTCAGCTTCTTTGGTGTTAATGAAATTTAACATCAGGTTCACTAGATGGGCATCAATGAGATGACCCCCAAAATGGGAATGGTTTTACAGGTGGAGGCCACTGACATTTTTTTCCCTACTCATCTTCTCTGAATGTTTTTTTACTAGTTTTGCATTTGGCTAGGGTCAGTGTCACTACTGGTAGCTTGAGGCAATACCTGGACCCTACAGAGGTTGCACAGGCAGTCCAACTCCTCCAGAATGGCACATCAATATGTGCCATTACCAGAAGGTTTGCTGTGTCTCCTAGCACAGACTCAAGAGCATGGAGCAGATTCCAGGAGGCAGGCAGTTACTCTAGGAGTATGCTTAGTATCCCAAGTATAAATACAAATAAACCCCCCTAGTGCAAAATAATGACAATTAAATATACGGTGTACTCTTCCCTTATTCACAAACTTCCCCAAAACGCATATAAACACTTTAAACCCCAAAAAGTGTGATAATCTTATGAAATATGCTTAGTATCCCAAGTATAAATACAAATATAATAAGTGCTCAAAACAAAAACAAAAAACACACAAGTTCCAAAATAATAAATTAGTCCTTCAAAATATATCAAAGTCATTCAAAATCTCAAAATCAACCTCCAGGTGAAGACAGCCTTCAAAGTAATTTCTGAAACCAAAAAACCCTCGAAAAAAAGAAAGAAAGGAAAACGCACATAGTGTATTATCCTTAACAACTTTAATTATTCCATAACGCATGTGATTCACACAAAAACACTCGTGATCACTATATGGTAAAGTGAATAGCTGTGTAAACACGTGCCCGTGAAACAATCTAGTGATAAAAAAACTTTGAAAAACAATGTCCACTTCTAGAGTGTGCAAAATAAATACCCTTACCAAAAAAAATATATAAACACAAGCTTGGTAATCCTCCAGGCAGGGTACTGATATATAATAAAGTTCCTCCAGAGGGATCTTCACAGCCACAGTATTATACTCCTCTCCACATCAGTCTCCAAACAATGCCCACCACAAATGAAACCACAATAGCGTAATTCCGTAAAAACTTAAACAGAATATACACTTTATTTAGGTGCTTACATATATCTTCATCTTTCAAATTGCCATCAAACAAGAAATCAGCCCAGCCAGACCTCCGGAAATCCTCAGCAAATCCTCTCCTGTGACTCAAATAGAGATTTCCAGGATCCAAAATGGCCGCTCGACCACTTCCGGTTCAGTCTTATTTCAAAAGATTATCACACTTTTTGGGATTTAAAGTGTGTTATATGCAGTTTTGGGAAGTTTGTGAATAAGGGAAGGGTACGCCGTATTTAATTGTCATTATTTTGCACTAGGGGGGTTTATTTGCATTTATACTTGGGATACTAAGCATACTTCATAACATTAGTACACTTTTTGTGGTTTAAAGTGTTTATATGCGTTTTGGGGAAGTTTGTGAATAAGGGAAGGGTACACTGTATTTAATTGTCAGTTACTCTAGGAGAGCTGGACAGGACTGTAGAAGGTCTCTAATCCATCAGCAGGACCGGTATCTGCTCCTTTGTGCAAGGAAGAACAGGATGAACACTTCCAGAGCCCTACAAAATGACCTCCAGCAGGCCACTGGTGAGAATGTTTCACATTCAGAAACAGACTTCATGGGGGTGGCCTGAGGGTCCAACGTCCTCTCACAGACCAGCACCATAGAGCTCGTTTGGCTTTTCAGAGATGAAAGCAGGTTCACCCTGAAAATGAAATATAATATCCAATTCTTTGGTAAAATATAAAATGTGATTTTACACCGAGTAAATAGATACCAAACATGTCTTTCTTTAAAATTGCGTATGCATGTGGAACGGTGCCCAAACTTCAGTACCTAAAAATTTCCATAGGCAACGCTTGAAAGTCTTTATAGTTTACTAGTTTAGAGTTACGCAGGAAGTCTGGTGCTAGAGTTATTGATCTCACGCTGACATTCATAGCTCTACCTCACATGTATGGTGCAATTTCCATTTACATACTGTATGTGTGCAGGATTGAAGTGTGCGTTTTCATGCGCTTTAAAATTCTTTATTTACACTGCAACTGTAAATTTTTTTGATCACTTTTATTGCTATCACAAGGGATGAACAACATCTCTTGTGCTAGCATAGCTTCCAAAGCATTGGATCAAACTAATATAGATTTGATCCAATGCTTTTGCAAGTTTACTTACATGAGACCAAAACCCAAAGTGACTAAATCCTTGTTGCTACTGGTTTCTGACATCACACAGTGGAAAGAACGAAATTCACTCCTCTTACTGTGTATCAGGAACTGCATGCCAACCGTTGCATCCTTGCCGGGCTCCCTGAGTGCTTGGGATAGCCAAGTAAAGGTGGCATCGGCAGGAGGTGGGGGTGGCCCTTCTGCCATCCATAAAAATGAATCCAGCAGCTCTTTGGCCACTTGGTTTGCTTTCACTTTGTTCAGAATTGCCAGCTCTAAAAAATGATATCTCGGAGACAAAGATGGCACCCTTCCTATCCAAGGACGTATGGGTACATCCTTTGGATGGGAAGTGGTTACAACTATGGTGGATTTACAGAATGTTAAGAGTTTTGGGGACAGTGTCAGCAACACAATATTCACGAATCACGTAATTTGCATGTCTATTCAATTACTTTACATAATTGCTTGGCTTCTATACAACAGCAGCAACCCAATGGGGTTGATTTACTAAAGACAAATATACTATGCAATGCAAGAGCAGTTGCTCTAGTTTTGAGGGGGCCTATTTGCCATGATCTCATTCACCGAAGACCCAGTATGCAAGAGACCTTATACCTATCTGGATTACTTTTTTTTTCAAAGGAGTAACTATAAGACTTTGCAGTATATCTTGTTATATCTTATTTGCAATTCCTTGCTGCTTTTCCACACAGTTTTGGGTATAAGCTAGCTACAAATATTGTATGATAAGCATGCAATTGCAATACCTGTTGGACCAGGGGAGGACTGACCATTTGGAAACTTGGGCAGTGACCGAGGGCCCGGGGTCAGTAGGGGGCCCCATGAGATGCCCCTGGTACCTTTTTCATAGGCTTTTTTGAGTTTGGGCAAGGACACAGGGGCCCCATGATCCCATATTGCCCGGGGGCCCCATGAGTTGTCAGTCCGCCCCTGTGTTGGACAATCTTGCAAACATGCACCTATTATTTATCCTATGTGCTGCTTTCTCGAGTGCTTTTTGATAAAGGTGTCAGCCTGTTTATTATGCTCTGGATATTCTCTATTGTTATATTTTTGATGTTTTTAATTATTTTGTATATTTTGGGCCTCTGTTATATCGATGTTAGTATTTTTTTTCTTGTTTAATATACATTTTAGTGATAACTTAAAAGTAATTTTTATATGCATTGCTACTGCTGTTCCAGATCTCATTCTTTATATGTCTCTCACATATTTGTGGTGAACAATGATTTTTGGAAATTTTTATTAAAATGTATGTGGATTCCAGTCTGTACATTACTTACCCTTGACCCCTGCAGTCTATAGATTACTTATTCCTCAGCTGTGCAACTTTTTGTGTTACCTGACCCCTGCATTCCTTTTTTTTTTTTCTTGTAAAACTCTTTTTATTGGTATTTTTCAGAAAATATAAAAATTAACAACAAAAGAATAATCTATGGCTATAGACAACAAGCCAGGTAGTCATCAAAATACAAAATAAAAAATACAAAAGAGAAGAAAAACCATGCCCGTGTTGTACAAGGAACGTCAGTATACATATACATTCAGGAGATATAAGACACCCTCCTACCCAAAAAACATACATCTTACAGGTTACAAAGAACCACGCTCCACACCATTTCCACAGATAAAGACATATTGCCACATAGTCCAGAAACATGAATTCATTGGCCAATAAGACCGCTAAGCAGTATACACAAACAATCCAATATAATTGTTATGGGAACCAAAGTTCAGTACTCCTCAATCTGCCACTGAAAGTGGGGAAGCAACCCAGCCACCCCAGACTTTATCAAATGTATGGGGTACCCCTCTATTAGCATAAGTAGTCTTATATAATGGGAGGGCCCAGGGGCGGACTGACCATTTGGAAACTCGGTCACTGCCCGAGGGCCCAGGGTCAGTAGGGGGCCCCATGAGGTGCCCCGGGTACCTTTTTCATAGGCTTTTTTGAGTTTGGGCAAGGACACAGGGGCCCCATGATCCCCTATTGCCTGGGGGCCCATGAGTTGTCAGTCCGCCCCTGGGAGGGCCTTATCTATAAGAGCTTTCCAAGCTGCAACAGTTGGAGTCTCTTCTTCCAGGACAGTACAATAAGTTTCCGTGCATAATAAAAAATGAGAGTAAGAAAAAGTACGAATGGCCTTTGTGGGGGCCAAGTCATCCACCAAAATCAGGAGACAATGCTGTACAGACAGACTAAGGGGTATATTAGTGACTAACTGGACACACGGAAGCACTCCAGACCAGTATCGCTGTATGGCAGGGAAGTCCCAGAAAACATGTATAAAATCCGCCCCATAGGCTGAGCAATGCCAACAGGAGGATGAGTTGTTACCAAATATTTTAGCTAACCTAGAAGGAGTCAAAACAAATTTATAGTGTATAAGCTGCTCCCAAGCAGATTCTGTTGTCCATTGGGTGAGTTTTTTCAAGTATTGTACAATTAGAGATCTTTCAAATTTTGAGTTCAACCCCAGGACATTCCAGGAGATAACATGAAGATCAGTCGCCATAATCCAGAGGACAGGAAAAGGATAGAGGAAGTGGTGGGAGGTGTAACTCAAGCAACACTGGACGCCCCACTAACTGCACAGGCATAGTACTCAGAAGAGAGTTTCTCTCAAACAAAAAATGAAGAAAAAAGCAAAAATATAAAAACAGCATCCCTGTTTCTCCAGCCAACAAGCCAACTCAGCCAGGAAACTTTATCGCCCAGAACAGGTAAAACATTAGAGCACATGGGAAATGGTGGGAGGAAGGGAACCCTCCCCTCCCCTCCCCTCTCCAACAGAATGCAGAACCAGCCTCAACGGTGTACAAAAGAGTTGTAAAAGAAAATAAAATAAAAATGGGGGGTACAAAAGTTACTGCAGTCCTTGAACCAGGGCCACGTGGCAAAATAGGGGGGGGGGGACCCCCGACCACATCCTTGGAGAGAAGAAAACACTGACTTCAGTCAGGAACAGAAGTCTAACCAGTTCACGCAGAAGCAGGAGTATCAAAATAGTGAGTGATACCCTTATATTGAACCCTAAGCTTGCTGGGTACAACATACTGTATTGAAGACCCTTTTTCCTGAGCTTCTTTCGCACATCAACAAAGGAACTGCAACATTTTTGCAGCTCAGGTGAAAAATCAGGGAAAAAGTGCAGATCAGCATTTTCAAACCTCAGGGATTGTTGTATTCTGGCCTCCGCCAAGATGAGATCCTGGAAATTCAGAAAACGGACCAAGAAGGAGCATGGAGGAGCCCCAGGGGTCCTGGATCCGTGGAACTCTATGTGACTGTTCCACCTGGTAGGCTGGAGAGACCAATTGCAAATTCAGCACTTGCTTAAAAAAGCCCTCTGCAAAGACAGCAGGATTGTCCCCTTCAGCACCTTCAGGCAGCCCCACCACTCTTACATTATTCCAGTACGATCTGTTTTCAGCGTCCTCAGAGCGGGCCATGAGGAGAGTAACAGTGTGCGGGTCTGAGAGGAGGTGGTATCTTCAACCTCAGAAATGTGGGTTTCCCCGGTGCCCAGGCGGCCCCTAATCTTATCCAGGTTCTTCCTGATAAGCCCACATTTTAGTGCCAAAAAGTCTATTTTATACATGAGGGATGATTTAATTGCCTCTATGGCTGCCAGGATTCTAGAGGTAGCGGAATCCCTAGGTACAGCCTCCACAGGAGAGGGGGACACATCCCTGGGCCTGAGCATCCCCATCCATCGTGTCCCTCTAGGCAGTCTGCTCCGCCACTGAGTGTCCCGTCGGCACGTGTAGGCAAGATGGCCATGCCGCATGTAGTAGTAGTAGGGGAGCTCTGAGACCCAGTAGAGGGATAGTTATTTGCCGTTGTCTTTCGGGATGGCATGGGCAAAGAGGGCTCGGGTCCTCAGGCAGAGTGGGGAGGTCGGCTGAGCTGGATGATAGCTAGGTGCTCCCCCCAAGCAGGATAAAAGAGCAGGATACTTGGAGCCTCAGGAGAACACATCCGCGCTGGTTCACATCCCAGCCACGTCCAGACCCCTGCGTTACTTACTCCTGACCTCTGTTGATTCTGTATTCAAAGGTACATATTGGGGTTAATTTGAAGTATAACCTTTACCAACATGTCTAGATGACCAGTTACTGTTATTTACTTCTTTGACTGTGCGGTGCCTGTCTGGGTGTGCAGATGGGAGTCTGGACTATTTGTTTTATATGACAATGTTGTCATTATTTTAATGGTGTATGGTGAAGGTTTACTCGAAAACTTTTGTTACGTAATTAATGTTGTTATAAAGTGTATCTTTGGGTTATAGAGTGTTTGTCCTCATCTGAAACTAATTTTTGGTGGGCTTTCTATCCTCTAACCTTTTTGTGTTGCTAATTTGGAGCATGGCAGTGATAATGACCCATTACAATTGCATCATTTGGCATTTTGACTCTAAAGCCTAGGGCTAGCTCACACTTTAATAACCACAGCAAATGTGTTTATTTTTTTTTTTTTTAATTTAAATATTTATTAATTTTTCATGTTATTACAAAAATTCCACAAGAAGAGACACAATACATATAAATAATCAATACATTTCTACTTTGCCCCTTCTATTTTACCTCTTTTCTTTCCCTACCCTCCCAGCCCACTTCTACCCCCCTTCCCCCCTCCCTCCCCTCTGCAAGATCTCCAATCTCTCAAGGCCCAATAACTTTAAATAACTTCCTAGTTTAAAGTTTTCTATATTTCTCTTTCAATCCTGATTTTTCCCATTTTTTCCCATCGCGAATAGTATAGATCCAACCTGTCTTCCTGAGTATAATAAGATTTTTCCATTCTACTAATCTGGTTTTACCCTATTGATCCAATCCTCCTCCGTCGGCACCTCCGTCTTCCACCAAAACTTGGGAATCAACCCTTTTGCAGCACTTAAGTAGTACCATACTCCTGATTCTTTATATTTATTTACGGTTGTCTCAACATTATGTAGGAGACACATGGTTGGGTCTAATCCTATGTCATTTCCAGTTATTATTTCTATTGATTTAACTATTGTCTTCCAGAAAACCTGAATTTTTGGACATTGCCACCATATATGAAACGCCGTGCCCTCCTCCCCAACATCCTCTCCAACACATTTTTGAATTCTCCCCCCTCATCCTGTGCTCAGTGCTCGGTGTAATATGCCATCGTGTCAGACATTTATAATTAATCTCAACGTCTCTCATACTAACACTCTCGTGAACTAATCTAAATATCTTATTCTGTTGATCTTCATCTATCACCACCTCCATATCTCTTTCCCAATTTGTTATAAAAATTAACTTTGTCTGTGTCTAATTCTGTGAGTATTCTATAAATTTTTGTAACACCAGTGTTTCCCATCTCTACGTGTTTCTAATAGCCTTTCAAACATATTCCACTCCTTTTTTAATCTCAAGGGTTTTGGGAGAGTTCCAATAAAACATTTTAATTGATGATATTTCCACTCATCTATTTTAGTAAACATATCTCCTCCCCTCTCTTTTAATTCTTTAAATGTTCTCAATTCCCCCTCTACCAATACGTCTCTCAGTTGGATATCTTCCTTTTTAAACCATCTCCCTGATATCTCATCTTTTCCTGGAGGGAAGAACTCCGTGTTTGCAAGAGGCATTAATATAGAGTTGAATTCCCATTTCATGTGTTTGTGTAAATTATCCCATGTCCTTAAAACGTTTAAAGTGAAGGTGCTTGTGCTTTCTTTAATTCTTCTATAATGTGCTGGAACCCATATCATCTTACTCAAATTAATTCCACTCAGTTCATTTTCTATTTTTACCCAACCTTTCCCCTTGTGGTTAAAAGTCCAATCATAGATTCTTGCTAAAATTACTGCTTTGTAATATCTCTTGACATCAGGTAGTCCCATCCCCCCTTTCTCTTTAGTCCTACTCAGTGTTTCA